TTACAGTTGAGGGTTGGTACTTTTGGAGTTACAACCAGCAAAATAAAACACTAATTCACCACAATACACCAAAACACTTTACTTTTGCACTGGACGCGCGTTTTGTTAACTATTATGTTGGTATCATCAGCAGATGATGCTAACACTGTTCAGTTAGCATGGTTAGCGAAACGCGCATCCATCAGTACAAAAGTAAAGCGTTTTGTGGTGATTTAGTGTTTATTTTGCTATGGGACTATGGTTTTCACCTTTTCGATAAGTTATAAGATAACCTAGATATACAAGGGGAGTCAAAAAATGCAGCAATTTCAAATTCGCTCTGTATTTCAGGGTCTATGAGGGCTGGGACAAATATGTGTATGTAGCATCTTTAGCTTCATAACAAAGTAGGGCAGTGATATAAAAACCGCATCTTTGTACCTACTATTTATAAAGAAGGCCCTGAAGGCCCTGTATAATATACCCTGTAAATATGAGACACTTTGTACAGGGTGGGTCAAATTCGACGCTTTTAAATGGAAACACCCTTTTCTATAGGAGATAGACAAAAACTAATATCGGTGTCTGGTGCTCAATTTTTGTCAAAAACATGATGGTGAAAACCGCATATCGATATCTGTGACCGTTTCGGAGTTACGGGGTGTTTTTCAAAAATATGCATTTTTAACAAATCGCTGTAACTTTTTTGCTATGGAAAATTTTGTATTTTTATGAAAACATTTCCAAAGCATCTTTTTACGTAGAATTTAATGGTTTAAGTATAATTTTTTTAAAATTAATAATTTAAGAATTATCAACAGAAAATTTGATTTTTTTTATATGGGACACCCTGTATATTTTTAATTTATTGAAAAGAATTTTAAATTACCTTTTCAAAAATATAACACACTTGATATTTTGCCCGATTCCCCTTCGAGATAGATAAAAATTCGCCCGCTTTAAATAAGTAGGCTATGAACGGCACCGACTGTAATGCAAAAAAATTCTAGCTGTGAGCATCAATTAAAAGGAAAATAATATTTGCTATGAGAGATGCAGAATTTTATAACAATTTAAATTTTAAATATATGTAACCAACATGAACGGCTGGGATCTTGGTTAGCTATTCAATTATTCTTGAAATTGGCTGCAAAAATTTGCTGATAACTTCAGCGTTCAGAGGCGGTGCGTCGTCTTGCTGGAAACATATGTTTTCTAGTTCCATTAAGGGCATATCATCAATAAGGGGTCCAAAGCCTACTAGTTAAAAGTGGCGAACTTTTAAAAATTCTGTATTTCGAAGGGGATTATAACAAAATATCAAGTGTGCTATATTTTTGGAAAGATAATTTTAAATTCTTTTCAGTTAATTAAAAATATAGAGGGTGTCCCAAATAAAGAATCAATTTTTTTGTTGATAACTTTTGAATTATTAATTTTAAAAAAATTATACTTAAATCATTAAATTCTACGTAAAAAGGTGCTTTGGAAATGTTTTCATTAGAAATACAAAATTTTCCATAGCAAAAAAGTTACAGCGATTTGTTAAAAATGCACATTTTTGAAAAACACCCCGTAACTCCGAAACGGTAACAGATATTGATGTGGGGTTTTCACCATCATGTTTTTGATGAAAATTGAGCTCCAGACACCGATATTAGTCTATCTCCTATAGAAAAGGGTGTTTCCATTTAAAAGCGTCGAATTTGACCCACTCTGTACATTAAAATGCACATTATCTTTAATAGATACCTACTTATAGAATTTATTTTTAAAATCATTCTATTGAAAAAAAAAATGTTTTTCTAGCAAATAAACTACATCAATGGACAGCTTAAAGTTGATTGGTTCTTTCAACAGATCGTACTGTTTGTATGTTTAACGTAGTTTCATTTGTCATTTTCCGAAGCGGGGGAAAATCCAAAAGAGTTTTCAATCTGCAAAAGCGCACATTTCCGAAGCAGTTCAAAATAAATTCGATTTAGTTGAGGGATGATAAAATCTCGTGTCAGGCAAATGCCGTTGCTTGCCCATCCTTTTCATTCGAATGTACAAAGCAAGCGCTTTGTACAAAAGAAAACACAGAAAGTGAGAAGTGTTTTATTTTAATGAAAAATGCCGGGAATGAAGACATGTATTTATATCAAGATGAAGATACCCCAAAAAATCTAGCAGAGACTTACTTATGACTTGCCTTTTTTAATTTTTTTAAACAAATAGCAAAAGTGTTTCCTCCATGATGATATGACAGAATACAAAATACTGAACGCCAAATCGTTGTCATGTGACCTTACTTAAGGATCAAAAGTTACCTTTTATTATTTTTCCGTCAATTTTTTAAGAAAATGGATATAGTTTTAGTTCTACCTACCAAAATGTAAGGTGGATGGATAATAAAATTAGCCTGCTATTGCTTTATATGTATGTATTATCTCCAGTACAGGGGACAGATCCTAATTTGCATTTATCTGTGGTTTTAAGGCCTCTAACTCTATGGCAGCAAATATGCATTCGAATATCCACTTATCTCGCTTTGTAGTTTCCCAGCACCACGACATTGTTTAGCTACCGGCAGTGTTTTCATTAGGGTTAACGTGTATTATCTCTTCATTACGTTATATTGTGAAAGTAGAGTTTCCATACAAGTTTTTTAGAAATTCCAGACAAGCGAGCTCTGAATTTATTTATGTAAAGTTTGTCTAAGAGGTAGAGTTTGTTGTCTGTCATTTTAATTCACAGGCAAATTGTATTTTCTGTCATTGTTTGGATGTCGTCTGGCGATATTCTTTTCTGATCCACTACACAGACAGACATACTTTACTTTAAAGAGTAAATTAAAGGAAAAATGTTAAGCATACTCTTTTGCCTTTGTGAACAGTACTACCGCAGATTATAAACTTTGTTTTTTTCTTTATTGTTTTTCGTGGTTCCAATTTTCGGAATCGGGCACTAGTTAGGTTACTAGTTTGCGCACATAACACGCCCACTTATGGCCTCTAAAATTGTGCACAGCGCCTGACCGGCACAGTTATTAGAGAGATATCGGAAAACCTAATAGCCTCATGCAGTATTTACGCGTACCTTATCGTGGTTACGATATGCGCTAGTCAATTTTTAACGCAACACCCGCTAATAGCGTTACCGCCTGACGTAATTTGCGGATCAATTACACCAAGCGCTATTTCTAAACAACGTTTAAAAATTGCTTAAATGGGCATGTGCGGGTATTTGACAACCAGGGCCGGCCGGTGATTTATCTTTTATTTTAGGTTATGTTTGAATTGTTTTGACATATTACTTTAGTTTTATTAGGTAATTTGATATTTGATAGTTGGGATTATTAGTTTAATTAATAAATATGGCCCAAAATATGGATTCCACCTCTTCCAATATTAAAGAACCTATAAGAGTTTAGGTTTACAGCAGATGACGACTCCTCTTAAGAGAATTTGTTGTTTGTTGCTCCTAAACCCACTGGCAGACGTTGAATAATAAAGCACTGGAAATAAGCACTTTAGCCCTTTAGTTTTAAAATACCTAGTAAACAAAACAATTTCAAAGTTTTAAATTCAAAGTTAGGTTAAGTTTAAATAGCGGACGCGACGCGAACAGAATTCTTTCCGATCCGATAACTATAAATGAAGAGAGTTAATACCACCTCACGTAAAGGAAGTAACACCTGGCCTTATTAACGTCCATGCACGCTATTCGGTTTAGCGATATCTCTCTATTACGCTGTTTATTGTTATTTTACGCGAGTTTATTTTTGCGCACAGGAAATTTTACTCGTTTGCACATCGTCATAAAAAACAATTTTCCTACCACGAATTAGGGATAAGATTTTTATCTGTATACATATAGTATACCTAATCTGTGGTACTACTAAGATTTGTACTGCATACGTTACAAATGACAGCACAATTGGATTTTCCTTTTTTAATTGATGAGAAATCTTTGAGCATTTTCTTAGTTATTACATCTCTTACCTCGCTACGTAATTTTATAAATCCTACATCAGCGTTCAGGGTCACTAACTTGCTAAAGAAAATATGATTAGAATTCTTAAACAGTTTAAATTCACTGTAAAACGCCACCTACACATTAATTGACGAAACACATTTACATCTTAAATTTAATTGTATCATACTGCTTAAGTATTCCCGTATAGTGGGTAGTAGTAATTTGATTAAGCAACTGCTGGCATTGTATACTGTGTCCTAGATAAATTAAATTCATTTTTACAAGAGAAAAAATGGGGTAAATAAGTGTCGTTTTCTGTGAAGTTACAACATTTCTACTATGTAGAATATATAAATTTACAGTAAAATAATAAAAAAAACAAAGATAGGAAATAAATAATTTCCTATATGGGCGATAAATATACAGGAAGTTTTCAACTGAATTCACCAAAGCTCCTTCATTCTTCCTTTTTAATCCCTTGTTAACTTGAACAGACCGGAACTTCTGAATCGGTATTTATTTATTTAAGGCTTGAAGTATTTTGCGTTGTCCCTTTTGGAAGGGTCTGTTGAGTTTAGTTTCTCTGAAAACTGCTGAATTAATAATTTGAATAGGAAACTTAATAAGTCCTTAGGCTTAAGGCTTAGGAATAACAGGAGGCGTTATACCAAATCCTCCTTTAAGGAATGTCACTTTAATATATAATAGAGATGTTATGAATAGAACTACTAGCATACATAGAGATAAAATAATCTTCCGTAATGCTTCATTTAGGACCTCTAAATTAGTGGAATAAATTTCAATGTAAGCATTCAGAAGATCAAAATTAGTGATGTGGTGTTGAATTTGAATTTTACCTTTTGTCACTAATGCTTATGTTTTTTGTTATTTAGTAATTATCCATTAATCAGTCATTATTAACCTACATGTAATAATATACTTACTACTTATTTCGACATTGCTAGATTTTAATGCAACATTATTTGTCAGCTATAAATCTAAAAATATGATTGAGTCATTTTTATGATTGTATTTATTGAAATATTTCATTTTTATTTCAGCAACTATTCCGATCTCAGCAATCACAAGCAACTACTCCAGGGGCAGCTGCACAGTTACAACTCCTACAACAGCAACAGCAGCAACAGTATTTGGCAGCTGCTCAGCAACAGCAAGCGGCAGCTGCAGCTTTCACTCAGCCCGGTCCTTACGTGTTAAATGCTCAGCAGGTAAGTGATATTGAGTATATTAGAGTATATTTGAGTCGTATAATTAATACCATATGATAAAAAAACGGCGTCATTGAAATTCGAGAAAACAATTGTCAATTTATAGTAGTTGATGCCGTTTTTTTTCGATCATACGGTACTATTTAGCGATGGGATAACTCGAGCGAAAATTCACACATGATTATTGAAATAACCGACATCGCTCGATTATGAACGAGCGATGCAAGTGACGAGTACCAAGCGACGAAGGCAAGCTATCCTAGAATGAAATAAATTAAAATCCGATTGCCGATCGAATTTTCTACATACATTGCAGGTAGCAATTTTATACGACGCCGTATATATATTTATCCGTTGCGTATCTGAGGGACAAAATCGACCTACATCGACAATGCTTTGAAATAAGCTAAATGAAGCTATCAAGCGAATCGTTTTTTCACCGAAAGAATCTGTACCCTTCGCACGCAACTTACTGCTTGGCGCTTGGCGTTAACGAGTTACAACAAGCGGCGGACGAAAAACCGTATTTTTAAATACGAGCGATATTTCGCTCGAGCGATCGCTCGGTTATTGCAATCGCTTGATACTCGAGTACTCGATTATTGAAATTAATCGGTTTCTCCCATCACTAGTACTATTATATACCTACTAGCCTTATAGGAGTACCTATTACTTTTATATGATAAAAATAGTATTTAAGGGACTATAATATCATTTTTTGTCCTGTTTTAGGCTGAGCCATACTTGATTACCGCTGGAGTACCAGCACAGTACTACGGTGTTGGTCCATGGGTTTATTCTGCACCACCAGCTAACTTAGCTGCACTACAACAGGGAGCTAGCAATGGAGTACGACGGCCACTTACTCCTAATGGCACGAATGAAGCTCAGCAACAAGTACAGGTACTACCAATTACGTTTATACAGGGTGGTTCATTGTTCAGAAAAAAGTTCCATATCAGATTTACCATTTGAGATTTAATTTTTTTTTGAAGTTTATATCAAAATAAAACACCAAATCACTACAATACACCAAAACACTTTTACTTTTATACTGGACGCGCGTTTCGCTAACCATGTTAGCATCATCAGCAGATCATAAAAACTAATATCAACAGCTTTAATTGCGAAGTGTCCAGACAAGATTAAAAATCTCAAATGCATTTTTAATATGTAACTTTTTCTGGAACGCCGAAACAACCAATATTATATTGTTATAATTTTATTTTTTGTATAAAACTAAAAAAAAATGTCACGTCTGTATATAATAATATTTTATTTACCTTGATTCATATGAAAGTTTGTATATTTTGTAATTTATATATTCTCTAACAATGTTGTAGAGTTAATTTTGTTTGCCAGACACGTAGAGTTCGAAATTGCATCATACGAGCGCTGGCTAATTTAGGGATATTGTTAATAATTTTGTTATATTCAGTAGCGGTTCATTAATATGGGCATATGTACATGTAAACCCCTGAATTTTTGAAGAACTAATTTAAATTTTATTTATAAGTAATACATTAATTTTGTTTTTAATATTTTTAATAAAATAACATCCTCTAATTTGTAGCCTTAGATTGACAGTTTGATAGTTCAAAAAGGCTTTTTTTCAAACGTCACAAAAGTATTAATTTTTGCAACGTGATTGACAACATAAAAAAGTCATTTTAACGCCTAGGCATCAAAGTAAAGCACTTTTACGCCTAAGCATAAAAGTACGAAAATATATTATTAAACTGACATAAAGTGTCAAATTCAACCAGTGTAACCATAGTTTTTCGATATATAATTACTTACAAGGTATTTTATTTTAAATATTTTTATATTATTTGGAACCTTTGAAATTGTTTAAAAAATTATTTGTGGCGTTTGAACCACCTATTATGTCGAACGTACAGCTTCGCCGCAAAAAGTATCATTTCATAATAAAACAATGTACTATTTTCTCATTTTGTGTTCCTTCAAAGTATTGAACTACGAGCCGCTACTGGTTGTAATTTATTATCGAAACTGCCAAAGCTCAAAAGAAAATAGGATTATAGCCCTTTTAGGAACTCACTACTTGCAACAGAAATTATAATAATACCATAATGGAGGTTTTATGCAAGTTTGAAAGTCTTATACTATTCTCTAATAACGATCATTCCCTTCTATTAATACAGTCTTTTAGTGGATACAATGCAGTATTTTTTGATATAATGGTTTCAGTAAAATAATAAAAGAATTTTTGAATTTATTGTCTACTCAGTAAAAACATGCAATATTATAAATATTGCATGTTTTTCTGGAAAATAATAAAATAATTACAATTTACTTTATATTCATAATTTCAAAAAAGTGTATTGATATTGTTATATCAGTAGTGTTGTAAAATTTCCGGAAATATATTTTTGGAGATATTTCCTGGAAAATTGGAAATATATACCTATGATCGAAAAAAAAAAACGGCGTTCAGTTGCCATGGAAATGAACATCGATGACATTTCCCATATAATTTTACATATAAAATTTCAGCTATCTTCATTTCATAGCCATCGCTGACGTCGTTTTTTTTTTCGATCATATTGTAGAAATATATATCCCTTATAACAAGCATGTATGACCACAAACAAGAACGTTTCTGTGATTTTTGTGGTCCATCTGTTGTCATTCCTTTCCAGGTATCCTGCCCATTGCCACTTGAGGTCTTTGATTCGGTGAATGACATCTATTACATGAGTTTTTTGTCCTATCAATTCTACGGCCTATCAATCTTTTTTACGGCCCTTCTTTATTATTCCCAGCATATTTCGTTCCATCGAGCGTTGTGCGACCTGCAGTTTCCTTATAACGTCGGTTTTAAGTGTCCAGGTTTCGCATGCAAAGGTCATGACTTGTAGGACACGTGGATCGAATGTTTTCTTCGTTAGATGAAGTGGCATTTTAGATTTGAATACGATTGTTTCTTCTTCTTTTAAAGAGATGGAATATATGCATTTAAAAACCACACTTTTGATGTATTTTCTATTCTCTAGTGTTAAAAATAAATGCTATATCTATAAAATGTGTAAATTCCAATGTAGAATTTTAGTTAAATGAAATTTTGCTATTTCACCTTACATACAGTTCAGTTTGCCTTTGTATAGCTAGCGAGAATATTCCCCGTAAACATTTTTAAAGTTATTACATATTTAGTTTTGAATCTAAATAGCATATTAATATAGACATTTAGCAAACAATAACGTGACAACACCGGTAAAAGAACAGCCTTCTTCTTTCAGGATGTAGTGTTGGAAGTTACTCTGCAATAGTGTTCTGTATACCTCTTCCTTTTCAGATTTTTTCTCTTTTTGTTCTAAATGTTCTGAAAATGCTCATGTTTTTTCCACAATAATAAGAAAACACGAGAAAATTCAGAATAAAATCGAAAACGTAACTCTCTAATTTTCCAAGCTCTGTTCTTTACGCTAATTATAAGTTTTGGACATTTGCTCATTTATTCTCTGAGAACATAATCAAAAAATAGATTCTCGAGCATTTTACAACGCTAATTACACCGTTTATTTGTATTTATTAATAACGATTAATGTTCATAGATATCTGTATATTCTTCTGTACATATATACCTAACCAAACATTTCTCTGTATCCCCTTACAGCCGGGAGTCCCAGCCGGCAGCTACATCGTGCCCGCCGCCTACTACGAGCAGGGCGCCGCTCCGATCCTCGTTGCCCAAGGCGCAGCGGCCGCGGCGGCTGCGGCGATGCGCAACGGCCACGCGCCGATGCGCCTCGTAAGCCCGGCCGCGCCCGTACTGGTTCAACCGCCCGGCGCAGCGCAAGGTCGTGCGGCGCAGAGCGCGGCTGCGGCTTCGCTGTACGGCGCAGCTGCGGGTGCCGCGCAGGGACTGTACGGCGCGGCTGCGGCGGCTGCTGCAGCTGGAGTTAGTACTTCGGTGAATGGAACCACTTTGGGAGGTGAGTACGAGTTTAAAGGCGGTGTAGAGTTGTACGAATCAGGGTAAAGAAGGAGCCACGAGCGTCATCGTTTGTCTCTCTTGCGTCTCTGGTTATTATATTTTTATAGATTGTTTATATTTTATAGTTGTATAGTAATGAGCAGTGTAGTGGTGAGGATAAACAGCTCGCGCGAAACTTGTTGATTATGAGAGAGACATTATAGCTGGCACGGCACTCGTGGCTTTTTCTTGGATGATTCATTCTTTAATGTCGGAAATGCTTGACGTGTATAACATTGGAACAGTATTCAAAATTATCAGACTCAGTCAACATATGATTAAAACTATTTTTTTTAACTTTGTAAGTCTTTTAAGCGCAAAACTACTCAAAATTACGCTGCACCGTATGACTACACACTACACTACACTAACATTATTAGATATTACTCAGAAATTTTGAATGAATTTGAACAATTAATGGAAAAAGTTAAAAGTTTGTTAAATTTTTCTACTAATTGAAAATTACTACCACTAACGGCTATTAAGGTATCTTGTATACTTCGCACTAAAAGAGGTTTTAAAAAGAACAATGTTCAACTTCAAAAAAAAAACTCAAACTCGTAATACAAAACTAGAGTGTCGAAACGAAAAACAATGTCAGGAAATAAATAAATAAATGTGGCAGCTTCACAATTTTTGCAGCAGAGCTACCACCTGAGTCCCCAGCGGGAGATTTAAATTCCAGTTAGTCAGCCCGCCGCCGAAAATGTCCATGGTTGGCAACAATTAATTTAAAAATCGCGCCCTCGATTATGTAACTAAAAGTTTAATTGGTATCGCTTATAGTTAGGTTGTCTATAAAATCCCTTCATAAACGCACATGGACTGTATAAATTATAGAAATGTTTATGTTAATATTACGTGGATTATAATTAATTCATTTATAATATTTTACAAGATTTTAATTGGTAGAAGAAAATTACTACAATTTCTTGTTTAATGCAAATAGGTAAGCAAATTATGTCATTCTTATTAAGAGCGACATGCCAATCTAAGTACAGTAATACTCTGTTTTAAATAATCATGAAATTTTGAATGTTGTTTCAAGCTACACGTCAAGCCTAAATTGTGTACCTGTAATTATATTGCCTGTATAAAATTTTTGTGTAAATATTGTCACATACGATTATTATGCTTTTAAATGTTTTGCTCTTTATTAAGCTTAGTTTCAGTCTTTACAAAAATATTGAAAGTTGAATCTATTAAGATATAAACTTTAATAATATCTCATTTTTATGGTTATATGAATATTGCTTTCTTCTGAATTTACTTTTCTTCGGATTTTTTTTTGTTTGTTTGTAGTATTTGTATATTATCAGAAATTAACTGACACAATCATCTGTGTTTATCACATCATAATATTAATCTTTTCTCTTTGTCATATAATTTTATTTTTTTTTGATCTGATTAATTTTTTCAAGAATTTTGTACCATGCATGTGTTGTTGATATTGTCTGCTACTATTATAATTTTATTTTATCATATATATTTTCATTCTATTTTAGACTTTTTTTAAGTTTATTTTATATATGCTATACATTTTTTATTTTATAAACAAGCTAGAGTATTTTACAATTATCTATATATTTTACTGGTATCATCATCCATATTCACTCTATCCTAACTACCCTATTATAGATACAGTGAAACTTCTGTAACTTGAATCTCAAGGCCCTTAAAAAAGTCATAAGCATGGTTGTAAAATTATAAGCATTTTAAATATATAGTTATTAACGTAATAAGGCCGATAAACAACAAATAACGGCCGGGCTGAAGTTTGTGATCCGAGGCGATAGCCGAGGATCATAAGCAGCCAAGGCCGTTATTTGTTATCGGCCGTGTTGCGTTCTAGATTTTTCGTCATACTGCAGATTTTTTAGAGCAATAAACACTACTATTTAATAACAAATTTTATTGAACAATAACACAAGTAAGGATAAAAAATACATAATGTCTTATACTAAAATTCATTTTTCATGATAATGAACATGGAAATTAAAAGTGCACTTGTTGTTCTTAGAAATCTGTAATCCTTCCCAGGGATTTACAGATTTTATAGAAGAAGATGATGCTACTGAAGAATGGCAAATATTTGTATCCACTAAAGACACATTATTTTTGGAGCTATCATGAAAAAGTTGATTTGTTATTTTCATTCTTTTGGAAACTGATTTTCTATGTAAGTTTCTGCCACTGTTGAAGACTCCCATCCTCCTAGCTCCTTTAGCGATAGTAAATCACCACCATTTTCGGCGAGCATGGTTGCTGATGATCTACGAAATGAATGCCCTGTATAACGTTCTGGATTCTCCAAGTTCAAAAATTTTGCAATTTTCTGCGGTACGCTCCCGATGGTATGTATACCGACGATTTGCTTAACACACTTGCCTTTCTTGTAACCAATGAAAAATTTTGGATTGTCAAAGTTACGAGGACGCAGGTTGATGTATTTTTGTATAAACCATAGGCATCAAACGGAAGGCCCGTTTTTGGAATAAGAAATTTCCTATCTTTCTTATTTTTAGTATTTCTTAATGAGACAAGAATATTTTTCTCCGAATCTTCGAAATCATCAACTGTGAGTGACCAAAGCTCGCTGCGCCTACAAGCTCCAAGAATACCAAGCACCAATACAATTTTTCGAGTAACCAGGTGTAATCATCGGCATCCAGTAGAAAATTATTTATGTCATTCTCCGACAGAACTTTGGCTATTTTTTTGGTGAATAACCTTCGTTTTTGCGCCTCAGAAACATGAACAGTTTACCAAATCTATGAACAAATATAATTTAGATGAGTATGATTAAATATCGAAGAATATAATGGCTTTTACCTTGATATGTCGATGTTTTCATATACTCTCAACGCAAGCTTCAGCATGGATATCTTTGTCCACAGTGATGTAGGAGAATACATTTCAGACATTCTTTTAGCATAAGCCAGCAATACCGCTTCATTTACGCTGTTTATACTTCTATCCTGCCGCCACTTCAAAAAATTGTCATATTCCTGCTGATATCTCTCTGGTTATAGTCGGAAGTAAATTTTGAGTAGCCGCAGCCGCTTCCTCCTGTATTTCCAACGGAATTTCTCGCGACATCTCGCTATGGTCTATTTTCCCAATTTTTGAAAAGTCCAACTGACAATAAATAGTCATTGTTGCAGGTGACAGACGTTACGATTACCTTAGAAACTTAACGGCCGCCGGCCGTTATGATAACGTCCGGCGGACGTTATATGCATCTTTTCCATTCTGATTTTGCTTATGTTATAATAATATAACAATATAGTATGACGAAAAATTATTAATTAATTAATATAAATTTTAAGCAAATAACAGTAGTTTTATCAAATCGGTGACTTGACCAAAATCGACAAATTTCATGAGTATATGTAAGAAAAAAAGTCGTAACATTTCCTATTTTCGGCTATTTTTTACAAGTTTTCAAGACTCTTTTGGAAACAATAGTAAACACGGTCGTAAAATTAGGAAAAATGTCCGAGTTGAGGGAGTTTCACTGTATCAAATGCATATCCTTACGCACGCCCACTTTCCGCCACTAATCGACTAACCATTGGTGCTCTGCTATCTGTAGGCGTGGCTCAGGGCGTGGCCGGGTCGGGTCTGTTTCCCGCCCTCCCTCCGTCTGCCGCTCCGTTCGGCGGATCGTCGCAGCTGGGCGCGATCGGGTCTACTGCGCAGCAGCAACAGCAGCAAGCCACGTCACAGCTTCATTCAGGTAACTAACCCTAATAATCATCACGTCATATCACTTAAGGCGGGTTCTTACCAGTCTGATACTGAAAGATGATAAACGGTTTTGTTCAATAAACGTTTTATTTTACTAGTTTGATATTTTCAGTTGGCCTCTAGACATCTTTCGTTGATCTTGTAAGTATAAAATGCCCAAAAAAGCGTTAATTCAACCTTCTCCTTAAGATCTCCACTACCAACATTAAATGCTGCTTCTCAGCATTTATTTGGAGGTATACAACGAAATTCAGGAATTGCTTGTAGCTACATTTTGAGGATGAAAAAAAAAGAGAGAAACGTTTGCTCAGCAGTTAAAAGACAATACTATAACATGGTATACTGATGCTTCCAAAACCAAGGCAGAGGCAGGGATAGGAGTATTTTGGCCGAAGACTAAATATTCCGAACCAATAGGCACCTACCCAGCATCCTTCATGCAGAAATCTACGCTATCGAAAGATGCGTACAACTATCTTAGATAGGAACTATCGGAAACAAGAAATAGCCGTCGTATCCGAGAGTCGAGCAGTATTAAAAGTGATCAACTCAGTAACCCTCAATTCGAAGTTGGTCAAAGAAGGCCTAAAGAAACTGAACAAATTAGGCAAAGATAATAAAGTTCTCCTACTTTAAATGCCAGCCCACCACGGGATAGAAGATAATTAAAAAGCAAACAATCTAGCTAGAAAAGTAACGAACGCTCTACTAACTGGACCAGAACCGTTCTGCTTCCGTAGTGGATACTAACTTCACGCGGAACTTAAAAACCTGGAAAACTCCATCCATAACCTGGAATGACAATACTCCACCGGTCTAAGACACTCCAAGAAATTTCTCAGAACTTTCGGCCGAGAAAAATCAAATATTTTCCTTGAACAGGACACTGTCTCCTCAATGAACACCTCCTCTACAACATCAACGAAAGATATCTGGACCAACTGAATGAAACGTCTGAACACAAGTACCTTTTTCAGTCAGTTTCAGTGATTCTGAATACTGCTCAGTTTTACTGCTTCAGTAAAACTGAAAAGTGAGACCTAGCCTTAAACAACTAATAATTCCTATTTATGTATATAATGTTTATAATAAGCTCCCCAAGCTAACACAAATAATACAATGAATCGAATGTAAATAATCAATACTATGCACCAAATTGTTTATTGTTTTTGTTTTGTAACTGTCGCATACATTTATATACGTGCTTTTTTATTTATTTTTTTCAGGATTAGGACTAAATACAACTACAACAGGTCGGAGAGATTCCTTCGACAGAAATACCTCAGCATTTTCACCTTCGCTGGACTACAGACAGAAATGGACTACATCGTACAACATAGGCAGCAGTCCCAGCCCATTAGCAGGAAGTTTGACACCACCGCCTGCACCATTGCAACTTGGGGGATTAGTTAACTCTAGAGTAAGTTTTTCTTTTATTTATATCTATTTTTTTATTATTATTAGTATTAATTAACGTTGTTCAAAATTCGCAATAAATTTATTTTTTTAAGACCGCAGCAATCTCAATACGGAGCTCTGTAGTACCTAGTAAAAGGCGACTTTCAAATTCTTTTTGATAAAATTAAGTTTTAGGTTCTAATTTTTGCGAATTTTGTATGATAATATATTATGTAAAATTTCTCTAATGCTTTCTTTCTTATTTCTCCTTAGGTAATCAATGATTCTTTTCAGGTACTATCAGCTGCTCCGGGGGCTGAAGCTAAGTATCGCAACTCGGTGGCCGCTGGGTTAAATGCCACCACAATGTTTGGTTCTACAAACTCCTTATTTACAAAAATAAATTCTTCTCTCACATCCGTTCCTAGCACACTAGATAAAACACCACAGGGTAGATCAAGACTTTTGGAAGATTTCAGGAATAACAGATATCCAAACTTGCAATTGAGGTAAATACTACTAAGCCTAGACGTATACAGGGAGAGCAAAACAGTTTTAGTCAAAAACGTTTTTGGCTAAATGTATTTTCATGTGATGTAGTTTTATTGCCGATAAAAAAATAAAAAAAAAACTTTAATCAGAGTATAAAAAACTATATCACAAATCAATTGGAGCAAATAATACGAACATTTTACGGAAAATTGCATTTTTTTTCACTTCAAGCTTTTTGTTTTGTCTGAAAATTTAGAATATCTACTTCGTTTTATAAGATATTTCTTAATTTTAGGGACCTCAAGTGAAACATTTCCATAAAATATTCAAAGAACAAACTAAAAATCAAAAACAGTATCCACGACAATTTTCTGTGGTAATTACGCTGGCTGTTGCAATAGACAAGGCCGAATCCATCGTCGCCGCCTTGTATTATATCTCGGATCTGCCGACTGAATAGATTCCAGTGAACTATTCTTTTAATTAGTTCCTCTACTTCATCTTAGTCCTTTCGGTCTGGGACAGGTAACATACGGCTGGCACTCTCCACTCCCGCCTAGCATCGGGCTACGGCCGTGCTGGCCGATCCGTATGTAAACTAGTCTTTTATTTAGTTTCTCTAGGTCCGGATCCGATAACATACGGCTGGCACTCCCCACTTGTGCCTAGCATCGAGCTACGATCGCGCTGGCCGATCCGTCGCCGTCGCATAATATTATATATCGGTCACAGTCTCGATCCCGGAATAGGTCCTGAGAAACTAGTTCTGTGAGAAACCGGGAACTAGTTCCTTTCATTCCGGGGTCGGAATAGTTATTGGAACTAGTTCGTTCAAGAACTACACACCTCTATTCTGGTGTTTCCCCATTTTCCCCATCATCGTTGTTTCTTAGCTTCAATCTTCTGATGTGTTCGTTGAGGAGACGGTGTCTTGTTAAAAGCCCCGTGACAATCCGAAGATTGTTCTTACTTAAATCAAGAAAAATGTTTGATTTTGCTTGGTCGGAAGTCCTGAGAAATTTAAGTGTCCTATACTGTTGGAGGATTTCCATTCCAGGTTGCGGATGGAGTTTTCCAGGTTCTTGAGTTCCACTTTAAGTTGGTTTCCACTTGGGAAGCGGAACGGTTCTGGTCCAGTTAGTGGGGTGTTCGCTCTTTTTCTAGCTAGATCGTTTGCATTTTCATTGCCTTCTATCCCTGCTCATCTTTAGTCACAACCTGTGTTGTACCTGCAGCAGTGCTTATTTGATTGCAAATAAAACATTTCGCTTCCGTTTGAAACATAATGTATAAAAGACAAAAACGTTTTTGAATAGAATAGTTTTGCTCTTTCTGTGTCCGTCCAGTCTAAGGCTGAAAAACAATTTTATACGTATTTTAATAAAGTTTTTTAATTTCCAGAGATTTAGCCAATCACATTGTCGAGTTCTCTCAGGATCAGCACGGTTCTAGATTTATTCAACAGAAACTGGAAAGAGCGACCGCCTCAGAGAAACAGATGGTCTTTAATGAAATTCTTTCCGCTGCTTACAACCTCATGACTGACGTGTTTGGCAACTATGTAATTCAGAAATTCTTTGAATTTGGCACGCCTGAACAGAAGACAACATTAGCCCAAAAGGTATGTTTCAAAAAGAACGATTTTTGATTAAGACTGTACCTACATTTTGGTTAATCTTTTTTTTATAGGTTAGAGGACATGTTTTGCCCTTAGCTTTACAAATGTATGGTTGCCGCGTAATACAAAAAGCTCTGGAGTCTATTCCGCCAGAACAGCAACAGGAAATAGTACGGGAACTGGATGGACATGTTCTAAAATGCGTGAAAGATCAGAATGGCAACCATGTGGTACAGAAATGTATTGAATGTGTAGATCCGAATGCGCTACAAGTAAGCAACATTTAATCTAAGGCGTATTTATTTGATACTATAGAGTATTTTTGTCTTAAAACTAGCCATAACTTCAGAGAACCCGGGAGTTATCTATTTTTACAGTTATTTAGTTAATTATAGTTTATTTCTTATTAATTTAAAGGTGATTATTTAAAACAAGATTGTATTTATTGGACTTTTTTTCACATTTTAAAACTGTCGCATTATTGGTGCCCAACGTGGGGCACTAACTCACGACCCTGACGAAATTAGTGGAAAAAATTAGTGGTTTCAATTAAACTTTATACTTAAATGTTTACGATCTTTCACAATGTCTAAAAAAATCGGTTAAAATTAATAGGATATCCTAGGAAGTAGTATGTTGTATCCATAGAGAAAGCCTAATAATTAGCTTGGTTTGGTTTGGTTTTCTTAACTTTTTCTACTAATTAAAAATTATTACCACTAATTTTGACGTTCTGATTGCTGAAATTCAAATTAGAGGAACAAAGTTTGGTTTCAATTTGGGAACAAAGTTTGGAGATTCTAAATAAAGCTTTGTGCCTCCAAATAAGTTTTTTATGTTAACGCGAAAGAAGCTACAAAATATTTTTGGCTATGTTTTAACATAAAATGCTCCACTGTATTTAAGTTTTCTTAGTGTTTAGTTGCAATTCAGTGTCACTATTTTTACTCATTTTTACGTGTTTATAGTTTATAATTTCGTCGTTTTCTGGACAAGTCTACACACTTTCTACCCACCCGTATGGATGCCGGGTAATTCAACGCATTCTGGAACACTGTACACCCGAACAAACAGCTCCTATCTTGGCCGAACTACATCAGCATACTGACCAGCTCATTCAAGACCAATTCGGCAACTATGTAATCCAACATGTACTAGGTAATATATTTTTTTTTGTTATTTTTTACACTACTATTAAAATACTCTTAAGAAATATAATGATACTAACAATCTATAAGTATTACAATGGTATATTACTCTTAAATATTCAACTGGATTCTACTATATTTTATTAAATTATTAACAACTTTTCTTGGTTTCAGAACATGGAAAACCTGAGGATAAGTCGCAGTTAATCAACAGCGTTAGAGGAAAAGTTTTAGTTCTGAGCCAACACAAGTTTGCCAGCAACGTTGTAGAAAAGTGTGTTACTCACGCTACAAGGGCTGAAAGAGCCTTGCTAATAGAAGAAGTCTGCGGATTTAACGACAAGTAAGTCTTTATTATGTTAGAATTATCTATGGAACGGTCCACTATCGTAGTTTTGCCCCACGTTGGACACCAAAAATATGTGTTAACATTTTTGCTGGTGAGAGCAGTTTGATGATATTTTAGAAGATAACACCACATCTATATGGGAGGTTAATCACCGCGACCTTATAAAACTATTGTGCCCCCTTTCGTGAGTTTTCAATCATCATGTAGTTTCAGGGCTTTTACAAAAGCCAGTATCTGAGACAGTTTTACAGAGATTTGTTAACCATCTCTGATATCAGTCATACCAAAGTTTATGACACGAATGGTTGTCGTCTCGACAGGAGACAGTATCCTGTTAAAAACCCCGTGACAATCCGAAGATTGTTCTTACTTAAACCAAGGAAAATCTTTTGTTTTTCTCAGTCGCAAGTCCTGAGAAACTACTTTGAGTGTCCTAGACCTCTAGGTCCTAGGATTCCCATTCCAGGTTTTGGATTCTTAGTTCTGCTTTAAGTTGATTTCCACTTGAAAAGCAGAACGGTTCTTGTCCAGTTTGTGGAGTGTTCGCTCCTTTACTAGCTAGACGGTTTCCTATTTCATTACCTTCCATCCCTTGGTTGGCTGGCACCCAGAGTAGAAGGTATTTATTTTCTTTGCCTAATTTGTTCAACTTCTCATTGACAAATTTGATGAAACCCTGCTTTACAAATTAGACCACAACAATTTGTACTATTTTATTTATTTATTTTTCTTTTTCAGTGCCTTACACGTCATGATGAAAGACCAGTACGCGAACTATGTAGTTCAAAAAATGATCGACGTGAGTGAACCAACGCAAAGAAAGGTTCTGATGCACAAAATAAGACCGCATCTGAACTCCTTACGTAAATATACGTACGGCAAACACATCATAGCAAAACTGGAGAAGTATTTCATGAAAGCACCAGGCTCTATTTCTATTGGTGGCGAATTGGGTCCCATAGGACCCCCGACCAATGGCGTTTTGTAAAACATAACCTATCCAATTCAAAACGGATGATTTGCGCTGCAGACGACGCAGAAAAGCTAAATGAAAGCATTTTTTGAAATGAATGATACATAATAATGTTTTTTGAGCGCTATTTGAGAGATCTTGGCCAGACTTACGTCATTATAGTAAGGAATGCAAATATTCTAAAGGCATACACACACCTATATTTTTAATTTACATGGTCAGTCTCTTTCTGCACTGCAAAATAGAAGAATTTGAAGTGTCTTATAATATTTGCATTTGGTACTGACAGTTTTAAACTTCTTTTAATTATTTTCTTTTTAATTAAAATGTCCTACAGGGTGATTGTAGGAATGAACAGGTATTAACGAATATTTAATATGAGTAGACTATAGTTTATTTCACAAAAGATGATGGTTTCAATTTTTTGTACAAATACAAAATAACACAAGATTGTGTTATATTCTATCTTTGCCTCACTTTTGTGTTTCAATTAAAAGGTTATATGCGTAATACTTGACACATGAGAGTTACCTCAAGGGATGGTATTTTCTAACATGTTTGTACTATATTTAGTACATTTTTAAAATGAAAGAATATTACAAATTGTACATTACAAGCAAAAGTTAACCAAGTTAGTTAAAGGATGTGATCGCATTCATTTTTGTACGACATTTAGTACACTTTTAATATGAAAGAATAACGTTATTATTGGATATTTCAAACAAAATTTGAGCGATCTAAAAAAGATGTTCTATCAATCACTTAAGGTAATGATATATTTTTTGTTGTACCAAAAAGTTATGAACTTTATGACCTGAATGAAGTCATCTTTAGTGAAATAGACTATACATCGCCCTGTTGAGTACTCTGGCCCGGAAAAAATGCGCCTTTCCAGTATTCTTTCATTTAAAATCTTTATTTTAACGAATATTTTTTTGTTAATTCATCAATTTTTTTAGAGAGTGACTTTTTACTTTATATATATAATGGTTTAGCTTATAAGTTTTAATGTTAGCTTTGCTAGTTAGGAGGTATATAATATGTACAGCTGCCACTGGATTTTTGGGCCGTTTTCTCTGCGCACATTTTAACAGACTAGTGACGCAGAGGCGGCTCGTTATTCCAGAGGCGGACCAATTCTTTTTTTTTTCTGTGTATTATAGTTGTAACTTATATATAATATTTTTTTTTCATTTAGGAGCTTTTTTTTCGTTTTATCATTAATTCGATGGTTTTTAACTAACCTAAAGAGTTTTTAAACTTTTCATCAAATAATTTTTGAAAAGTTTTAGATTCATTATATAGACTTGAATTTAAGCGTATATATTTTAATTTTATTCATTCGACTGCTTTGGTAGGTTTTTTCGTATAAAATAGCCAGTTAAAAGGGTACTATGACACTGTTTTTTTTTCGTTTCATAATGAATTTGAAGAAGAAAACGCGAGTGCCCTGATAATACGTAGCTTAGAGGTTTGGCATCAACGCTCTTTATTTATTATCAAACACTTTTAGTAGGTTTCTTTTTATTTATAGTAAGTAATTTTAATTTAATTTTTCCTTTTTTTTTCTTTCTATTTGACGGCTGTTTGTTTAGGAAAAATATTTCTTAGTTTTCGGAATCTCAGAATTTTTCACCATGACATAACCATGGTTTAAATAAAATAAACTTATATAATAACTAACTATTAAATGGATAAAATTGTATATATAGTCATTTTTAGACTTATATTAACTTATATAAAACACGGTGAAGATTGAAACTAAAATTTCCCGGTATTTAATACTATATGCGCGATATTGTTATCTTGGTCTGTTTCCGAGTTTAGTATACAAGGTGTGTCTTGAATAGGTGTAATTATTTTAAATTTAAGACTCCAAAATCATACAAAAAAATGTTGAAAATTTTACATTTTTTCCTTCTTACATTTTTAGAATTTTTTTTTAAAGTTTTTAATGCCACAAGTTCTTCCTCCTGAAACTTCTTGATGGCCTTGAATTGTTGTCAATTCTTATGGTATCCACGTTTTGTATATTTGTGTGTTTTTATAAATGCACAGTATTTTTACTTTTCTACATGATAAATTACAGAAATTATGTTATTTAATTGTATTACTGAAATTTTAGAAAAAAATGCGCTGTAAATACTCATTTATTTTAAATTATTTTAAAATAGCAAATAGGTAAAATACGGTTCTTTTTGTTCACAATTACAACCCCCTTAAAATACTTCCACTTATTTCAGGGACACCCTGTGCAAACTTGCTCTAACGTTAATTGAAGTTTTAAAAGTCGTTCTTTAGGCGTTGGCTTATTAAACTTTGAATATTAATTATTAAAAATGAATTGACCAAGATAATTGCGATATCCTCTGTATATCTCCGTCTCTTATTGTCTTAAACTCACATACTTGCACCTTTTACGTGTCGATACCTTTTAAATATATTGTGATATAGACCTCAGGAAGTAAAATTATTCTTGATCGTCGTTTTTCATTTTTTTCCAAAAAAAAACTAGTAAGATTGTCAAAATTGTGTAAATTTTTCCTTATTTTCAATGTTTTATAGAATTTTACCGCATTTTTCAGTGTTCTGTATGGTTTCTATTGGCCGAATTGATTAAAAAATGGTTGGTTAAAGGTAGGTTCACATCGAACGGGATCGTACCGAATCATTAGTTCATATCTTCAAAAATATTCTTTTCATGGAATAAGTGACTACGCCACTGTATTCTACGTAAAAAGTTCTCCGGGGGTGTCTTATATTGCAAACTTATAAAAAAGACCCTGTAGTTCAGAAACGAAGAGGGCTATAAACATTTCCTTTACAACATCTTCTGTTTAATAAAAAAAGTGGGGCAGGTTTGTACAAACCCCATTCTAGCTTCACTTATAACGGATATGATTTCAACCGAAATGGAACACCCTGTATATACCTTATAAGAATAGACAGAGAAAATTCATTTTAACAAAAATTCAAATACTTTTGTGTATACAGTACCGTGCCGTCCGATCCCGATAGATGTGCACGTACCTTTAGAATATAACGTTTTTAGTACATTCTGAACTCGCTTACTAGAAGGTTTTAATGGCGTTTCAATCCAATAGAGACACTAGAATACTGCCGGCTTGATTTTTAACTTCATTTCACTGTAAAATTTAAAAAAAAAACGTATTCTCTGTAAGCACGTTTAATAATATCCCACTCAGAGCACTTAAGGTTGCATTTACAAGTAGGTTTAGCTGACATTTATCGTATTTGACGTATTGACGCGATCTCCCGTATCGCTTTCGATAGTAAAAGTTTGTAGGGACTTTGACAGATTTAACTAGTAAGGGGCGTTTTGAATCGAGAGATTATGATGCGATATCGATAAGGGTAGTAAGGGTTCTGTTAATTTTCGAGAGATACTTCACGCGCGGTTGCCAGTTTTTGTCGGTTAGGAAGATGATTTTTTTTGGGGTATTTAGGCGTTTTAGCGAGTTACTAGTTGTATTAGCTTTAGTTGTGATCATGTAAAATGAGCAATACTCCTATAAGGCTAGTGTATAGAAGCGTGGTCTGGATACAGCATAATGGAAAATCAAATGCATATTAAAAAGAGAAAAAAGTTGGGTTGGTACATTTCTTCTATGCGGTATTGCCGGATTTTGCATCAAAATCTCAAACCACCCAAGTAAGCGTTTACGAAAATGTTGCATCTAGGGTTGGATCTTTAATTTCTACAATTAGTTACTTATTTTATTACATGTGTAATAGATTCTTATTAAGCGTAGGTCACAGAACTACGTTATCTCACTGGCGAAACTACAAAAACAATCATAGTAGTTAGTTTGAATTTAGTCCAAATGTTATTGGTTCTATGGCGTGTAGCCCATGACACTGCATAGTTTTAGAATGAAGCTTTAACATTTAAAATACGATTACTATTTCTGAACAAACCAATGAATAGATATTTATTTCTATGATATTTGAAAAGAGGTGACTGCAGATATTTTATTCCAAGTTTTCAAGCAACTGTCTAACATATTTGAGCATTATTAAATAGCTTATATTATCGTCGTTTATTATGGTATTTCACACACGGAGCGGCAACGCTGTATGCCGCTTTTTATTTTGTCTTTTCCTCTCTCGTATGCATTAATATATTTTTTTTAATAGTCTTTACTAGCTTTATGGGTGTATTACTTATTAGACTAAATAAAAGAGGTATAATACAACTGGCAACCCTGAAACGTTCTGAATTCTATCTAGATTTTTAATTATAATTATTGAAACGCGTTATTGGTTGCCAGGTCATGTAAAATGAACCAAAAAAGGGTTATGTAAAGAATTGTAGATTTTTGTAAAGTACTTATTCCTATAGATTATACGTGAAAATAAATTGATGTAAAAATCAAAAAAAGGCGTGTGCCAATAGTGCTGTGGTTATTTCTTATAAGGGTTGTGTATTGAAATCTTTATTTTACTTGACTTGTACATTTTAAACAATTTTAGCCTGTGTAGATACAACTAGAGCACGTTTAAAATTAAACCTAATCAAAACTTAGTTTTAAAGTAAAAACACTTTTTTGGTTCGATTTTATATGATTCTGGCCCAGTGCGTCGCGAAAAGGCTGAGAATTTATATGATTATATACAGGGTGTTTCAAAAAACATGTGCTATCTCTAGTGGGGAGATTCCTCACGTAAAAATAAGATTTTTTTTATATGTATAGGTCCGATTTCGCTTTGTTTCGTAGCTACAGGGGGTTAAAGTTTTATTTTTTTTTCAGTTTTAATTTTCTTAATCTCCTGTATCTACGAAACAAAGCAGAATCGCACCTATGTTGATATAAAAAATAAACCATATTTTTACATTTATGAATTACCCCACGAGAGATGGCACATGTTTTTTGAAACACCCTGTATAGATATGTTTTATTTGTAACATAGAATTTGTAAATTTATATAATTTTAACTGATCGGTACATATTGTAAAAAAAAACTAATCAACCACCTTTTCGTTTTTAGAACAAGCAAAGTTTGTAAAGAGTTTTGTTTCTTTCCGACTATTGTTATTATTAATTAAAAAATAAATTGTATAATACGACTTGACCCTGTACATATATATTAATTTAAAGGAAAAAAGGACCTATAGTTTGTATAAAAAAAATCGATAAGACAAAAGACCTATGTATAATTTGTAATTTGTAAAATTTCACGAGTTTTTTTGTAAATAATATGGTGAAGTATTATTTGGAATTTTAAGAGAATTCGCGCGGACATGCCAGGGACGGACTATGCGGTATTTTTGGCGAAGAAAATTTACTTAATTCTGGAAAATAAATGTTTGTAGATCTTTACATAAAAGTCTTTAATTTAAATTTAATTTTTTTCTAAAATGTTGTTATTGGCTAGTGAAGTTTAAAACTGCTTAAAATATGTTTAAAACATGTATGGTGTGTAGGAGTTTTTTTCAATAAAAAAAAATACGTAAAAACTATTTGATAAAAAAATATATAATGCTAGAATTTAACGGACTAAATAAAAAATATAGGATCTTCATTACAATGCGCAGTAGTGAACGCAACATCTACCGGCAGCTAGACGGCCCGCACGCTGTTCCAGAGATCACAGCAAAAGATATATTTTAAAATTCTCTCTCGAAAACGTTGCTACCTATTAGACTATACAGGTTGTTAATTTGTTTATTACTCGCGGCAAAATCGCGGTTCGTTTTGTAAAATTTAAACTTCCCCCCATCATTTTTTAACCAGTCAATCGAAAATTCTCTCTCGAAAACGTTGCTACCTATTAGACTATACAGGTTGTTAATTTGTTTATTACTCGCGGCAAAATCGCGGTTCGTTTTGTAAAATTTAAACTTCCCGCCATCATTTTTTAACCAGTCAATCGGGGACCAGATTTTCGATATATCAAAATACTAAATAACTTATATAAATAACTATAAAAGTTCTGAATGAGACTTACTGGTGAACTGAAAGGTACTTTTGATTTATTTTAAAGACTTTTTTGTATTAGGGGTATTACTCAAAATTTTCTAAGTAAATTTTCTCCGCCAAATAATATCGTTGTATGAAACAAAGTTAAATAAAAGAACTTTCTTGTATTCTTAGAAGAATTTAATCATGTTATTACTTGACTTAGAGGAATTTAATGTATTGTAGAACTCGATGGCACGAACATTATTCAACAAAAAGTATTGAATTTACATACATACATAATATATATTGTGTAAAGTGTTAAATGTAATGATTGTACAGTTTTATCATTTTTTTTTCTTTTAATTTTTCTCTATCTCATTGGAATTCCACAAAATCTATATGTGTCTACGGTATATTTATTTTTTTAGGCCGCCAGGTATCTCGAAAACTATACAGAGTGTCGAGATATAAAGCGGGCCTAAAACGACTAGTAAGTAATAATATTGGTGTTGCATTTATATGTCGTGTACTGATTAACATTTAACTTAAATTTCATTTTTTTTATATATTCCTGCACAATAATTACTAATCAACTGAAGAGGTTATGTTCATTAAAATGGCGAGTGTACCAATAAAAATAAATATAAAAAAAGTGTGGAAAAAAATGCAGACATCTGTTTGGTTACTACAATTCTCATAGATTTTAAGGATAACATACACCATTTAATGTTTTATATTAACAAACGTTACTAATTAAAAGTTTATTATATATTTTATGTATATAAGTGTATTTCTGGTACTTTCTCAACAAATTTTTCACTATATAAAATAAATGCATGAAAAACAGACACTTTGTATTTTAAAGTTCAATATCTTTTGATCAAGTGGGCTGATTTTGGTGATTTTTTAAGCAACTTGTAGCTAAATTATTTGTGTGGTTCATCCCAATAGCTTCATTTTTGTTAGAGATATTCACTTTTGAAGAAGACAGTTAACAATATTAGTCAATAAATAAATATTAGTCTTCTTCTAAAATAAATATCTCCAATAAAAATAAAGCTATTGAGATGAACCAAAAAACAAACTATCGTGAGAAGATGCACCTTGATGATAAAGTCCTTACTTTGTTAAATTATTCTACAGGGTGTTTAAAACTTTCGCCAAAATAACATTTTGTGTTCCCTCGTATAGTAAACAAATGGAAACTTTTATTTGAAAATTTAGAAATAATCTAAAAAGTCAAATATCTTAGCTACAAATTGCTTAAATATTCATCACAGTCGGCCCACTAGATCAAAATATATTCAACTTTAAATTACATGTAAATTTTAATGTACTACTTGCAGTTACATATGCATACATAGAAATATATTGATAACTTTAAAGGTAACACAAGTTAAAACATGTTTACATCGTGCCTAACCATTCCAGTAACTAAATAATTTTCATTTTCATCGTTTCTCATTCTAATTTTGTAATATACCATTATTATTTATTTTATTAACAATTACAATCATTAAATATACGTTAAAAAGTTCTGTATAGAGATGTAAATATACTTTTTAAAATAGAAATCGCTTTAATTTTAAAATTATCGATAATAAAAAATGTACATTATAGAAACAAATTCCAAGGTAGGTAGTAACCAAACTGATCCGTGCTTTTTGAAAGTGAGTTTCTATAAAATTTAAAAAGTCTCAGGTTTTTGTATTATATTGTAATATAGTTTTAATAAGATTTAAAAGGAAATATTTTTCAAATCATCAAGTTTTAGCCCTGTAAAAGGACTTTTTAAATTTGCTAGGAATATCTCTTTCATTTAAAATTTTCAAAAATAAAAAAATACTTCTTTGAAATCGGGTAGTTTTTTAATATGTGTTTTTTTGACTTAAGAATATTTTCATTGTTATTAAAGGAGGCATTATTTTGACAACTTTGACAGTTAATGTGTCATAATAATAAGCGTTTTGGCATTTCGAAAAAGTTAAGTTGTCAATTGGTACTGTGTTTTTTGAAAAAAATATAAATAAATGTTAATTAATTTATCAGAGTTGAATTTAATATGTTCTTAATCAAAAAAAAAATATGAATATAGTTCCTGATATACACTTATTTTAAAAATATAGGAAGGAATTCAGAATTACTACTAAAACTAAACTTAAACCAAAAACAAAACAAAATAGAGAAATAAAATTTTAGGTTAGAATTCAAAAATCAGTCAGCTCTATTTTGTGGTGCCTTAACTGTGAACTACACAAACATAAATGTCAAGGTAATGTCTTACTTTCTATATCTTTCTATTATTTCATTATTTTACACTACTCGATTTCAAAAAAAATAGTTTTTTTTTTATATTTAATAATTACCACCATACATAGCCATATCTAAACCATATACATAAAAAATAATAGCATTGAAAATGATGTATTTTAAACTCCCTTACCGCTGGTGAACGCAAGTATTTGTATATAACTGATATATTTTTGACGTATTTTTATTTAAAAATTAATTTACGTTACATTACGTTTAATATAATTGTCAGTATTGAGAACACTAAAATTTTCTGTATAATTCACTAGTGTTTTCGTATTAGATAACTTTGCTTATGTTTTTTTTTTGGAATTCCACAAAAATTTTGTAGCTAAAGTGATCAAACTTCACTTACTTGTTTTCAGTGTTGCCACTTCTTTTAAAAATTAGTATAATCTGCATAGTTGTTTAATATAAACATATTAGTGAATTTTTAAAAATTTTTTGACAAATAAAAATAAAATATAAAAACACAGCGACTGGGAGGACAAAAGCTTTATTGGGCACGAAATAATTTTAATTTTAAATGGCAGACTGATGTAAAGATTACTAAAACGAGTTATATTGTAAATTGTAAATTCTTTTTTTCGTTTAAAATTAAAAAAATCACACCTACTGTATAATACATATGTAAAAATATAATAAAGTGTAAAATGAGCCGTTTAATAACAGCAACCAGACTAATTGTAATTAAAAAAAAAAGATACAAAACATTGTAAACTATTGTATTTCTAAATTATGAATTGTTAAAATGCGGTCTCTGTATTTATTTCTATTGTTTTGTTTTGTTCCGGTTCAGAGCGCATGCGTATTTATCATCATAAAAAGCATCTACGGAGTCTATTTACAGAAATCTTGTGCACAAAAAAAAACATAATTCGCCTCCCCTGTATACTATGCGAATTAATAGTAATACAAAATATGTCCTCAAGGATATTTTACAACTATTTTCTGGTAAATAGATGTTTAGATAAATACGCAGGCCTCTGTATTAACATATATACAGGGTCTCCAAGAATACTGGATACATACGGAAAAAATATGTATGTTATGTTTTTAGAAATTTTTATTTTTGTCAAATCTTCTATATGTCGTTTTTTGGCGAAAGTTTGAAACACTCTGTAGAATGGTTTAAGAGGATAAGACATTTAAAAACCGCTTTACCATCAAGGTGCATCTTTTCTCTATGGATTGTTTTTTTGTTCATCTCAATAGCTTCATTTTTGTTGGAGATATTCACTTTTGAAGAAAACAGTAACAATATACAGCAATTTTTAGTATTAAAACTATGCCTTTGCTTTTGGTCCTAACATCGACACACCTATAAAATAGTGTTTTTTGTTTTTGCTGTGTTGCTGTTATTGAAAGGTCATGTATTATTATTGTTTGTTTAGTAGTTACTTTGGTATAGATAGTTTTAAGTGCAGTAAGTTGATCTTGACTAGAGTAACTACCAACAAACAATAATAATATGAGTCTCCA